ACCTGGGAACCTTTTTGATCACCCCGAGTGCCACAGAGAATAAGGCTGGGCACAATTCTAAAAACAGTGAGGTCAGTCTTTCTGTTCATAAGGCTTGATACCTGTTCCTGAAGAACATTTACACAGACCTGCAGCCAGGCTCCGTGAAGTGGACTTCAGGACTGCAGTCCTCTTACGTTGACCCTGATCTTGCCCTCGCTAGCCCATATCTTTTTATCTGTACCACTGGACATAGGATTTACATGTTTCTACATTAAAAATAGTTATTCCCAAATAATATTAAAGATAAGACATCACCTTACTTTCACTGGTGAGGGGGAGGTAAAGGGGAAAGAAGAACAGGAAATAGAGGAGGAGGAGGAGGGGATGAAGAAATAATAATAATAATAATAATAATAATAATAATAATAATACCAAGCATTGATGAGGATGTACTTTTCCATTTCTAGCATAGATAGCTATATAGATATTGTCTTCTTGCACGCTGGTGATGGAAATAAAAATTGGTGCAGGCCCTGTGGTAGCCAGTTTGGGGGGTTATCAAAAAAAACTTGCACAACTGCAGTCCTGGCTGCCACTGCTGCCTGTTCTCATTTGTTGCCCTGCTATGGTATTCCATAAATGCCCCCAGGTCTGAGAAGCTGCTGCCAACTGCCAGGTCAACCTACAGCTCAATGTCTCCTATGCCTACCTGCCTGCCGCTTATTGAGATGACTGTGATGATGTGGCTTGGCAGCACTTTGTCAAAGCTTCTTCACAAAATCTTGTGAAGAGCAGGGACCATACTGAGAAAACGCTGAAGCAAAAACAGCGAAGTGGCAAAATCTTCCTTCCAGATAGCAAGAAACTGGGAGAATGGGCTAGGTGCAAGGGAACATGCTTCATACTTGGAAAACAAATGCATGAATCAGTCACTACTGGAACCATGCAAACTGTCCCCATGTGTGACTTCCTGGAGATTAGTTCCCTGGATGAGTACATGAAATTCATCCAGGAGGCAGGTGATCACATAGCCAACTCGAGCAAGATGGGGGCATTCAGTCTGGCATGGCACAGTAGCTCTTGGATTAGCATATCCAGGGACACATTGGACAACAAGAGCTAAGCCTTTGGTTTGTTTTCCAGACAAAAGAGTGACTTCCTAGGTCTCCCAGTCAATCTGTGCATCTTAGGGTTACCTTTATCGTCTCTAAGCTATACCAAAACGTCTACTTAGTGCTTCATTTGTATCATTCCTTCAAATAATTTGGAACTCCTCAAAATGGAATTGTCATTTTATCCAGAAATTCCACTTCTGAGTATATATCCCCCATTATATGCCTGTGCATACATCAATATTAATCACAGTAACCAAAAGATACAAACAGTAAAAAGTATTCATTTATGGATGAATGGAAACATACAAAAGGTTGAATAACATTCCATTTTATGTATGTGTATATACATACACATAAATGTACATATACATAATATACATGCATATAAATCTGTGAATATATTTATATTTTATGAATAATAAAAGTATACTTATGTGTATATTTATTTGTAAAATGGAATGTTTATTCAGCCTTGAAAAGAACAGTATATATTTTTTTAATTGGGGGGGGGGTCATACCTGACAGTGCTTCCTGGCTCCATACTCAGGAACTACTCCTGGAGATGCTTAGGGGACCATAAGAGATGCCATGGATTGAAGCCAGGTCAGCAGTATACCAGGCAAGTACCCTATACACTATACTCTCAGTCCCCAAAGGCAAGAAATCATGACACATACTACATATATTCACAATATGCTAAATAAAACTAGCCAAAAAAGGATAGGTACTGCATGATCCACTTTTATGAAATGTTTATTTATTTGGCTTTTTGGGTCACATCTGATGATGCTCAGGTGTTATTTCTGGATCTGCACTCAAGAATAACTCCTGGTGGTGCTTGGGGGACTATATGGGATGCCCGGGATTGAGCCCTGATTGGTTGTGTGCAAGGCAAATGCTCTAGCTTTATTACAGCTCTGCTCCCCTATGAAATGGTGACAATAATCAAATTCATAGAGCCCATGTGGTTTGATGGCTCGATCTACCAAGTTCTCAGGGCAATGGAAAGGGACTTAGTATTTAACAGGCATAAAATTTCAGTTATATAAGAAACAGCTCCAGAGAAGGATAATGATGATTCACATTATACAACAAAAAAGATTGCACTTTAAAAAAGATTATGGTGGAAATTTCTCTTAGGTATACTTTTACCACAATTAAGAATAATCTTAAAGACATCCCTTCAGTCAAAACATGCTGTTCCTATGTCTCATTTTTTCTTAGCTCTTTATTCTCTACTGTGTAAACAATTATTGGTTTAAATGAGCTAATGATCTCTGAAGATGTTCTATGTACTGTGTGTGGTAGAGGGGGGAAGGAGAGGGGCGGGATTCTGGCCCTGACTTTTCCTTTATTTTTTTCTAAATCTTCCTCTCAAGAGGAGATATCTAGAGATGACAGTCAAAAAGTAAATTGGGAAGGGGGGGAGGGACGGAAATCACTGCTTAAAAAAGGGGCATATCAAAGGGTATTAGAAAGGACTGTTTCCATCTACCCCTGTGGCCTCATCAGTTCCCAATTGACTCAGGCAGCTGGTGTAACCTATCCACTCATAAATGCCAGATTAAATCCTCAGTACTGGAGCTGGAGTGGTAGTACTGGGTAGGGTCCTTGCCTTTCACTCAACTGACCCAGGTTCGATCCACAACACTCCATATGGTCCCCTGAGCACCATCAGGAGAGATCCATGAATACAGAGTCAGAAGTAAGCCCTGAGAACTGCTGGGTGACCCCCAAACAAACAGACAACATAATAAAATAAATTAAGTCCTCAGTTTTGTTCTTGGCATAGCTCTGAGGGGGGGGGGGAGAGAGAGAGAGAGAGAGAGAGAGAGAAAGAAGGACTTATCTGATCTCTATTTGTCCTTGTTGTTGGGACTTGAAACTCTTACAAATGACATGTTTTCTTTCCAACTACTGTACTTTATAAAATGACTGTGGGTTGAAAAGGTGAAATTCAGTCCAAATTCTAGTGCCCTAAAGAAAGATCTGTTCAAATTCTTGAAATAAAATATTTTGGCATTCTGAAATACTCTCTTATTGGTTGAGGCCAACATTATCTTTCTCAGGATTTAGTTGATTTCCAACTCCAGGCTCACTCACTCCTGAGATAGCAGTGAATGCCCTATACTTAAAGACTTCAAGTTACCTAGGTCTACAGGATAAAGTTCAATGTTAAATCTCCCTTTACCAGGAAGATTGCTCCATGGTTGGAAGCCAGCCTCATGAACTGGGGGAGAAGGCAGTTGGGATAGAGAAGGAATCACTAAGTAAATGATGTTTGGAGGAATCTATCAGGATGGGAGATGTGTGCTGAAAGGAGATAAAGGATCAAACATGATGGCCTCTCTGTATCTGTATTACAAATCTTTAAGTTACAGCTTCAAAGGAGAGAAAGAGTAAGAAGGAAACTGTCTGCCATAGAGGAATGGGATGGGGTGGGGTTGGGGTGTTGGGAGGGATACTGGGAACATTAGTAGCAGAAAATGCACACTGGTGGAGGGTTAGATCATTGAATGACTAAAACTCAATCATGAAAGCTTTGTAATTGTATCTCACAGTGATTTAAAAAAAAATCTTCCTTTAGGTCATAACACTTCCTTCAATCCTGTTTTTGCGGCGCCTCTGCATCTCCCACCTTTCACCCCCTTGGCTCCAAATATTTTACTTAGTCTTTCTTAACTACCATTTGTTTTCCCACCTCCAAGTCTTTGGACAACAGGCTCCTTGCTTTGCTGGTATGACCAGCTTAGATTTCACCATCAGGTGAATTTACACTTACCTTTCCAAGTTGATCTTGAAAGTCTTCCCTATGGAGGCCCAATGATTCCCTGAAAGCTCTTTCCACAGAAACCACTGAGTTGGTGTTTTCCATCACAATGAACTAAAACCTCTTTAAAAGCTGGGAATCTTCTCATTCTTAAAATATCTCTCCCCCAAAAAATATCTTTCCAACACTCTAATATCAACCTCATCCTGGGGATGACATTTGAAAGTGACCTCTGCCCCTCTCCTGCTGAAGCACCAGTGCTTCACTGTGCTTAATGGAGACTCGGTCCATTCTGAGCCCTTGCTCTCCACTTCATTCTTAGGCCTTACACAAATTATGATCTTACAAAACTCAGAAGCAATAATATCTCCTACTTACTAAATTAAAAACTTTAGAAGAATCATGTCTTCCACATTTTCCACATTTTCTGTCTTAAGACTTTTCATAAGAGAACACTCTATATGGCCCCCTGAGCCCGCCAGGAATGACCCCTCAGCACAATGACAGAAGTAAGCTCAATGTGGTGAACTTTTGGGAGTGGCCCCCAGACAAAAACAAAAACAAACAAAAGAGATATCACACAAGATAGAAGCTGAATTTGTTAAATAAACAAAGGGACAACCACTCCAGCTGGCATTTGTGAGTATGACTTGGAGAAGACAGAAGTTTAGGAAGTTCTTGAATGTTTAAGAGAGCAAAGAAGCTTATAGGTGAGCAGATGCACCTTTCTTTCTCCAATGGAGGATAAAAACTAGCTGAGATTTCTTCAACAATGCTCAGTGAGGTCAGCGAATGGCAGAAGAGGAAGCAGTATGAGACATAAGGCAAAGCAAGCCAAATCCAAAGGTGAAGAAGTGGTATGCTAAGATAACGAGCAACATCATGTATCCTCAGCGACCTTCAAATCACTGACTTTATTTGAGAGTGATAGTAAAAGGAATACTATAATAATGAAAGCATGGAAACCTAATACAGATGCCTGTAGGTTGAAAAATTACATTTATTCATATTATTGTAAATTTCCTCCATCTTTTTTTTCTAAAACTCAACTGCCATCTCCCTGGAAACAACATATGAATATCACCGACTTTTAAAAACAAAAATAGTGTTTTAAAAACCACAACATACTTTACCTCTAGTGTCCCAGTCAATGTGTGTAATATAACTAGAAGCGCCTTTACAGATGCCGACTCTTTTGCTTGTAAGTACATTGTAAATATCCACAAAGTTATCATGGGATGCCACAGCAAGGTATTTTCCTGAATCTATTATAAAGAAAATTTGTTTCATTAACACCAAAACATCTTTTATAGAAATTTACTTCCAGAAAGCCTAGCAATTTTGAAAAAGTTTTTTTTGTCACACCCAGTGATACTCAGGGGTTACTCCTGGTTCTGCACTCAGGAATTACTCTTGGCAGTGTTGGGGGGACCGTATGAGATGCTGTTCTATACCTGGGCTGGTCACATGCAAGGTCACTGTACCATCATTCAGGCCCCGAGAATCCTAGCATTTTAAAATGGGAATGAGGTCAAGAAAATATTTAAAATAGTCCAATTAAGCAATTTTTTGCCTCCCCAGATATTAAAAAGTCTTGTCACTGTCACCTTTTGAAAATTTAATATCAGAGATCATTTCTTTTCTGTGATGGAAGGAGACCATATCTTCAACTGTATCAGCATTTACAACCATGAAACTCCCATCATTCAAGCCAACTGCTAAGGCTTTCCCATCAGGGGAGAAGGCACAGCATCTTCCACCTACAAAAATGAAATGGTTAAATTCCACAACCCAGTTGTTTTGCTTGGAGATATCTAAGAGAAGAATATAAAAACACCATTTTGAAGAGATAAAATGTCCACCCAAGGTCACTGCAGCATTATTCACAGTAATTGAGAGTTGGAAACAACATAAGTATCAGCTGACTCTTAGAGAAGATTCAGTATAGATACACAATGGAATACAACTCAGCTACCAAAAAGCAAAAGAGAAAAAAGGATAATGATGATAAAATCCTGCCATATGCAACAAGATGAATCGACCTAGATGATACTATGCTTTAGTAACATTATAACAGATGGATAAATAGTTATGATTTCATTTATATGTGGAAGACAAAGAAACAAAACTAAGTAACAAACAAAACAGAAACAAATTCTCCGATGGCAAGAACAAACCTGGAAAGGAGGTGAAAGGGATTAAATTGAGTGAAAAGTGTCAGTTGTATAGTGAAAGATGGATTAGAATTTTAGTAGTAAACACTATGCTTTTTTAAAATGTCTATTTAAAATGCACACATGAAACAGGTGGATTATAAAAATGTTACTTGGATAAAAATTTCAAAAGAATCTACAAAGAACACTACTATCCACAACCTTAAACAAAGCTGATGAAAAGATGGAAAAATCTTAAGTGTGTATTATTCATCGACACGTGACTATCTTTAAATTAACACGAGACTTTAGAATTGTTAGTATCTCTTTACTCCAAACCAAAGGACAAAGATAATAATGTTAAAAATTACACTTATAATTTATTTGAAGTTTAACAATTTATTTTTTAGTATCTTAATACCTGGTTCCTCAAGAGGAGTGAACGGGGAAAAGGAGTAAAGGATTTGCATATATTTGCTCCTGAAAATATATGAGTGATATATATCACCTTAAAATAGGTGATATTTAAGATTGGGATTTCTGTAATCAAACTTCTAAAAATATGTTTTGATATGATGATACATGATACACAATACTTACTTAGTACCCTACATAAGTAAAAGATTGTCTTTATCTCTTTGACAATGAAAATATGAAATATGGACATTTTCCTAGGAGGTGTCTATGAATTGGGGTGACAATTCATTAGCAAGGTTTTCTATAGCTTCAATGGTCACAGGGAGACATCTGTGAGTGAGGAATATGGAATGTGGGACTTGTGGTGTGTGTGTGTGTGTGTGTGTGTGTGTGTGTGTGTGTATGTGTGTGTGTTTTGTGGGGCTTGTTTAATAATTTTGAGAATATTACCCACCCTTTAGCTGCTAACACACATGCACATATATACATTCATATCATTAAAACTTTGGTAAGCACAGCACCTGGCATGGGGCAGTCATGCAACCTTGACATTTCAAACTGAACCTTCATATACACCTGTCATCACTGATTCTGAAAGCAATACTCATGCCAACAATTCTGAACTGTATCACCTAAATTGCATCTTCATTCATTTATTTAGTCATCAGTTATGCTTCTACGTTCAGTCAGACAAGGTGCTAGGGCTGAGAGAACAAAAGGATTGTTCCCTGAGGAGAATCATCAATTTTAGCTTAAACATATTGGTTATTGTTCCAAGCAGGGTACTTCTGAGTGTGAGAAGAAATCTATTAATAAAAATTACACTGGGACAAATGACACCCTGGGTTAAATGGTCATCCTATCTCAGAGATGTTAGTAGCATATTCCTTTGCTGTTGTTTGTTTTGAGGCCATACCTGTGGTGCTCAGGGTTCTACTCCAGGCTCAGTGCTTGGTATCACTCCCAGAAGTACTCAGGGAACCATGTATTAGCGTGGGGGCAGAGGGAGGGACAGGAGATTTAACCCAGCTTCCTACATGTGAAGCAAAATTCTTTGGAACTGGTTTTTAACTTTAAGTCACTCAATGAGAATGTGGGCTACCAATTTTCTGGCATAAATATGAGATAAATATGAGACTCAATGAGAGAATATTGGAGTCAGACACTAGGGGTGAATTCTAGCTCCACCACATTTGTAAGGTCTAGAAATCCTGAATAAGGAGAGGTAACAGGTGGAGGAAGGCATTGCTGTGTGGTGGCTACAGACAAATGTGCTGAAGTCATACTCCTGGGACTTGAGTTTACTTCTACCACTTACTAAGCTGTGCGATGTTGATTAAATAGTTTAAACTCTCCACACCTCATTTTTCAGTATGGACATGGTGATCTGAATAGTCTTGCTTTCTTGGGTTGCCATAAATTATAATGCAAGGCACTAGCATAATCTCTAGCTCAGTAATATCTGTCCCTATCATTATTTTAAGTAGTAACCACTTATACTTCTTTTAAAATGATTTTTCCCCATTTCCAACCCCCCCCCAAGATACATTTCTGGTGTTTCTCTGTTTATAAAACAACTTAGCACAAATACTTTGGGACCAGACCTCAATTTCATCTTTTCTTAACTTCCATCAATGATGTTATAAATCAGCTCTCCAGTTTCCCCGTTCATAAATCCATCCCCAATACAGCTGTCCTCTAAGCCTCCATTGTACTTGTTTCTGGTGCCAAAATTTTTTGTTTCTTTATATATTCTTCACCATGCTCTGTGCCTGGAGCTGGCCTGCACAGATGGGCATCAATAGGCTTCCTTGTTCTTTGGCTACTGATTGGGTTTGGACAAAAGCGGGTAGGATTATAGGCAGAAGAAGGGAGAAAGGAAGGATGGGGAGGTTGGAACATAGATTGCCCTAGCTGCCTCCTGGTGGCATCACTGCTGTTGGCAGTCTCGCATAACTCCTGTCTGATTGCCCCTTCACAACCTTCCATCACTCCTTCCTCTTGCCTTTATGGGTCCAGGCCTGGTAAAGAGGCCCAGTTGTTGCTAGCACTAGCCAAGATCGTTTCTTTAAAACCTGTCCAATCCCTCTCCCCCCCCCCCCCTTTTTTTTTTTAAAAAAAAATGCTGTTTCTAGACTCTCCTCAAAACTCCATTTGAATTGTGCATCTGTTCCTGGGACTCAGTTCAAATCATGTCTGTGTCTGATCCTAGAGTGGGACTATTCATATTTAGATCCTCAGTCTGTGACACGTAAAAGCTACTTAGTGAATATTTACTGAAATTTTTACTTCTTGGGATACCTGTTCAATATAGTGAAAATTCATAAATATGTATTCAATACTCATTTCTTGACGCTTACCTTTGTGATGTAGCTGATTATTTTTTCAGCTGTAAGTTCTGGGGAATATTGAGTATAAAGATAAGCAGCATTCTTTACACGCTGATATATTTCAACTGACTTTGTTATTGAGGAGAAGAGGAAGGACATATTGCCCCCAGGTGGCAAATGTCTGTGCAGTGCAAGGAGAAATGAAATGAATTACAGATCTGGGTTCTTATGGATCAGCTCAGTATCCATGTAGAATTCTGCAGTGCTTAGTTATGACTCTGCAGCAAATATGGAATTACCACTGCTGAGCAATGTGGGGCAGGGTGGTGGGGACATAAAACATATACTCTGTTAATATTACTTGACTAGATAAAGTAAATTCCATTTCTTTTAAATACTTTCCAGATGCATAAGGTGATACCCTGTACCTTTTTTGAGTTTCCGTACTGCCAGCATACGGTGCTGGGAGGATAATTCCCAGATCCGAAGAGTTTTGTCATCACTCACAGTAGCACAGATGGGCAGGAGAGGGTGAGCTGCCAGTCCCCACACTTCCCCTTCCATGTGTCCCTGTGGGAGAGGAAAAGACAATACAGCCCAGTTCATGCTTCCAGGCTAGCTCTCAGCAGCTTGTGTGGCACATTCAGCTCCACAAGATCAAACAAGCTGAAATATGAACAAATACAGCTTCAGCCTCCTTATTACCAAAAGGATTTCCCTCGACTTTTTCACTGAAGCTGAGCCTATAAGATGGATCAAATTACTTCTGAAGCAAATTATGGATTCATCAGTCACAAGGTTTGCTCATGTGGTTGCTATTCCCATTTAGAAAAATCTGGGTAAGTAACAAAATGATTTCACTCCCCCCCCCCCTTTAAGACCACACTGAACAGTGCTCAGAGCTTACTCCTGGCTCTGTGCTCAGGGATCACTCCTGAAGGTGCTGAGAAAATCATATGTGAGGTCTGGAATCAAACCTAGGTCAGCTGTATACAAGGCAGCATGCCCTACCCACTTCAATATCTCTGAGGCCCCTGAAATGCCTTCCTATCCTTTGACATCAATAATACATAGATATGTGTAACACCTTAGGAAATAGTTGGGTCACGACACTATTTTCTTTAATTAAATTGTCCTCTGAAAAATGAAGGAACCTAAATCCTATGACCTAAATTTTAAATCCTATGACCTAGCTCTGTCATAGGATTTAAGAAACAATAGTCTTAAATTTAACTCCAGTTTAGTCCTTGGGATGTGTAACTTCTACAGAGCAGAACTAAGAGCTAAATTTTCATTTCAAGTGCCTCGTATAATTTTTAGATTCAGAATTTGTTCATTGATAGTCTATTTAGGAAATATCAGAAAATATAGAAAATTCTTATAAGTGTATTGATTCGATTATACATGCTCATAACTTTTCACACATTTAACTGACTTACAATAAAACAAAAGCAGTATTTCAGAAATGAACTTAGGGAGAAATGAATGTTTTTTTTTCTGTAACTTATCAATCAAAGCAATGTGAAGAATATATTAGTGTAGAAACTAATAAGACAGACCAAATTGTTTACTGAATTTAAGCTTTTAGTGGCTAATTATAAAGGCACTGCTTACTAAAACAAAAATAAAAACTATACACAGTCATCTGAAAGGTGTTTGTAGCCAGAACACTTTGGAACACAGGTGGTTTTCAAAAAAAGAAATTGGACCACTGCCAGTTAAACTGGAAACTGCTTAAACAAAACAGCAATTTGGCAGAAGAGAAAAAGTTCCAAGTAAATACAGCTGACATTCAAATATATGAGAACAGCTGAAGAGAGTAGATACTGTTTTTCAATTTGCTGTATTTGGGGAAACCTGTATTCTCAGTTTTCATTTTTTTCTTCACCAAGACCCCATTGTCTCATAGGTTGGATGTGAACCTGCAAATGTCCCTAAGACCATGTATGCTTGAAGCTCTATTCCACAGACACATTTTGCTTGAGGAGACAGTTGTGAGGCTCTGACAACATTCCAAACCATTATCCCACATACTGGCTCTAAAACTTTATTTTCTAAATCTAAATATTAATTCAATTCCCACACGATACAATGAGCAAGGTGTGCTAAAAGTACCATGAGTGGCAGAAGGAAATGAGTTTGGGACCATACTTTCCTATTGATCATCCATAAAGCTGATAACAGCTACATAATTGAGAGCTGAATAAACTATATGCAATGGTGATTTAGAGAACCTGCTACGTCATTCTCCCCCTCCCCAACCCTGACAAGCTTTTCTTCTCTTAAAAACAAGTAACATATTCAAAATTAGATATTAGAATGCCATGTTAGCAAAGAATGCCATGTTCTGAAATCTTCCAATAGCAGTTTAGTAGATTTGGCTTAATCTCATTGCCTCTTCAGTTCTTGAACTTTCTCTCAGTGTCTATCCTCTCTCAGGATGGGCTATGAGCCCTGAGAACAGGTAGCCCTAATTCCACCTTGCACAGCATACATATAGGACAGATGTCAGCAATGAGCCCAACACTGCTGTCAAACTGAGTTCCTCCTAAGATGAAATGGCAATAGGTGCTAGAACAGAGGAGAAAAGAGAGGTGCTGAGGGGGTGAGGAAGGTACATATACAAGGAGAGTCAATGGAGGTGACCAACATCTTGTCTGAAGATTCCACAAGGCCCACAGGTTTCCCAAAGCTTGGAACCTGCTTTCCTAGAGTCGGAACACTAAGAGACATTTAGGGTATAAGTTGGTGCATGAAAAAGAAGGGACTCTGGTATCTGATAAACTTTGATTTGAATCCCAGCTCTGCAACTTACTGGGCTTTGGGCTATTTGGTTATGAACTAGTTTCAATGATTATGTAATCAGCTGAGAAGAGAAATTTTGCAATCAGTATTTCCTTACACTCTAAGGTGCTCACTAAATGGTGTTTTTTCCATCATTAGTATTACAACAATTTTTTAAAGGAAAAATTAAAGTAACAGGAAATGAAAAAGTAAAAAGCTTTTATTATGAAGCTCAAAACTGCAGCCAGGGATAAAACTTTTTTTTTTTTCAGATAAAACTCACAGAAAAATGCACAAAGAATTTAAAATGTATTTCAATAAAATTAGTTTAACTATAATAATAATACTTAAATATGATAAAGCTTAGAGTTTAAAATCTCACATATTTATATATCACATAATAGTATAAATATTACAAAAGGCTGGACTACATATTCATTCAAACAACTCAGTCTCAAAACATTTGTAAGTTAAACAGAAATAAACACTCATTTTCCAATACAATTAAATAAGAATTCATGGCCACAAAGAAAAATTATTTGGAATGAGAAAACAGAACAGCTGGAGAACAAGGGTCCTTCATGACAGAGCTCTACCATTATTCTCAGTCCTGGCTATATGCTGCCTGGCTGGATGTCAGCTATAGAGTTTCTGAGGTTTGTTTAATTCAACACAGAATCTTTTTAAATGCCATTGTATCTTTTTTTTGCTGGATATTCCATTTGGCTTGAGTAAACAAATTTATAAAATCTCAACATGTTCTGAGCTATAATTGTCCACAGATCTGTTCTGAGGGTGGAGTAACAATTAAAGTGTCCCTTTCAATGGGAAATTAGGGCTCATCCCTAAAATAGCGAAACTTCAGGCATGAGTCAGGTCAGGGGAAGTAGGTAAAATTCCTCTAGTTCACCTATGAAAGTGTGTCCAGCAGCTTATATAATCAATGTACATAATTTTCACTTTTTAGCTTTTGAACACATCCTCATCATCCCTGTGCCTCTTCCTTTTACAAATAATTCAATTCCTCACTAAATTGGAAGAAATTACTTACTCACCTGCACATATTACCTCTCTCTCAGGTGAGTTTAAGTTCTTTGATCTTTGAGAATCTATTGCGAGTTCTTGTAATCTGATTTTACATAAATACAATTCTTGAGGGAAAATTACAGGTAAGGAATATGGAACACACTTGTGTCAATCAAGGCTATAACTAAGATGAGGCACAAAATCTAAAGTGACACTTGCACAGTTGTGGCCCACAGAGCAATAACTTCTTTTATCAATTTTACAGACTGAGAAAAAATAAACATGTATAGTATCAAATACAACTGAACTTGAGTTTAGATGAAGGGATTACTATTTCTGATATGATAAGACACTCTGACAGAAAAAGACTCTTTGGAACCTCTGGAGGTAAAGGTAAAGGTAAAAGGTAAAGGCCCTCCCGTTGATCGTCGATTTGCTCGAGCGGGCCCAGTAACGTCTCCATTGGAGACTTTGTTGTTACTGTGTCTGGCATATCAAATACTCTCGGTAGCTTGCCAGGCTCTCCGAGAGGGGCGGAGGAATCGAACTCGGGTCGGCCATGTTGGCCGCTTGTAAGGCGAACGCCCTACCCGCTGTGCTATTGCTCCAGCCCTCTGGAGAGGGGAGCATATTAGCAGATGTTAAGGGCAAGAATAACTGGTGGTTGTGGGTAGGCAGTGACAGACCTTTGAGGTGACTTCATGAGCCTCCTGTGCTCACCCTCTGCTGTCACTATTTCCCTTTGAGTGTGGCAAGATCTTTGGCTTGTTTCCAACCAATAAACTATGGTAACAGGGATTACAGGTTCCTCGTTACATGTTTGTAATGAATGGTTATATTATAAAAGTGTGGTGCTTGTTTTCTCTCCCTTACTGGTTTTGAGAAAGCAAGTGACCATGTGACAAGGAACTTCTGGCAGCTTGATGGTGACCTCTGACTCACAGCAGTTATACTCAGTTCTTGAGTCACAGAAATTGAATTCTGCCAACAACTTGAACAACCTCAGAAGTGGTACCTCCTCAATCGAACTTCAGATGAAACTGTAATAAGGCTTATTTTGCAGCCATGAAAAGTCTTAAGCAGAGGATTCCATTTAAGCTGTATTCAGACTCCTGACCCATTGGAAACCATAAAAAATGTGCAGTTTTCAGCTGGTAAGTTGGTGGCACATTTTCACATGCAAATCAGTAATTAATATTAACATCTGCATGATGCTGATAGTGAATGCAATCATATAGTTTATACCCGAAGGACTTTCATTGCTGCCTTCACCCTAGTTCCAGCTCTGATATGAACTTTGGTTTTGATGTACAGACATAGTACCTGAACAAGCAGTGTCATGGGGCCACTTTTGTCGATTTCCAGTATCTCTCCATTTTTTGTTCCCACCAGGATATGTCCATGTCCTAAAGTGATGGCACGAATTGAAGGATTGTCTTCCAAAAGCAAACCTGAAAGAAAAAATATAATACATTCAAAGCTGTAAATATTGTGTCTAACCACCTTACGCAAGTGATAATGGACTATATAATAATGTCCAGAAAGAATTAGTACTAGAAGAGATGTAAAGGAAAAAGAAAACTCATTCATTATTGGTGGGAATACTGTCTGCTGTAGCCTTTATGGAAAATGCTATGAAGACTTCTCAACAAATTAAAACTAGAATTCTGGCTTGACCCAGTGATTATAATCCTTGGCATCCATAGCAAGAATAAAAAACAATTCATTTAAAAATATGTATGTATACTTATGTTCACTGCAGGGTATTTACAAAAGCCAAGATATAAAACTAAATCAAGTGTCTAACAACAGATGAGTGGATGAAGAAGGTGTGGTATATATTCCCAATGGAATATCTTTAAGAAATATCTTCCCTCCTTGCCCCGAGCAGAGTTACAGTAGCAGAAGACCTCAGGAACCAGTCACAGCCATGCTTAAGACCACCCTCCACACATTTGGACGAGCCTCACACATGAAGGAACCAGCAGAGGAACCCAGGCATGCGGCACTCGGGGTCGAGATCTCCAAGCCTGCTCGGATCGGGACTGGGCCTTTTCAACCCAGATCCCCCATCTTCCAGTAGATAGGCATTACACCTAGCAACTGCCCCAAGCCCCGTGTTATCCCATTAACGGCCAAGATCTAGGGACTATAAAACCCAGCTCCCAGAAGTGCATGGCCATGCGACATCTTATTATTTAGTTCTTACTCTTGGAGAACCCAGGAGGCTACCGAGAGTATCTTGCCTGCATGTCAGATTCTGGCAAACTCCCCGTGGCATATTTGATATGTCAAAACCCAGTAACAATGATGGGTCTCATTCCCCTGACCCTGAAAGAGCCTTGAATGTGGCACTTTCTAAAATCTCAGGTCTAGCACGAAAGAGACCTTACTGGTGCCTGCTTGAGGAAATCGATGAACAACAGGATGACAGTGACACAGTGATGCAGTGCCTCTTGATACCACTTGGATGGAGTTATAGGGGATCATGCTGAGTGAAGTTAGTCAGAAGGAAAAGAACAAATAGCAGAACAAATATATCAATCATACATGATATATACAGAAACAAAGCAAAGGAATGGCCAATATCTTCTGACAACAATCTCTTGGACTTGGAATACATAACAGAGGTTATCAAGTAGTAAGGGGGCGATGAAGAGGTGAACTATAAACAGTGATTAAGAGTCTTGGGCACTCTGGTAATGGTGAAGGGGCAGTAATTTTGTACACTATAAGCATGAAGGTAAACACTATTGCAATCATTTTCCTCAATGATAAATTTAAAAAATAATGAAAATACATATGATTACACATATTGCATCTAATAAAATACAAAATAATGCCTAGCATATAAATTCTGTTCGCATAGTTCTCAAGTACTAGGTAATAGGCTATATGACCTATATGACAAGAGCAAAAACTCAGAATGGGAAAAAATGAAATTAATTTGGTAAAGGTTTTCCCAAAATTTGAGCACAATTTTCTCCATCCTTAAGAACAGAAGTTTACATAGCATACTCAAGAAGGGGCACCTTTTGAACTACTTGACAATGCTGCTCTTTTAATGGCATAAGTCTTCAAGCATCTTTCAAACATATCATCCCAGAGCTCCACGATCCCATCCTTTCCACCTGTTACAAAACCCTGTGGGAGGAACACATAAAGAGGATTATATCAGAACAACCTGGCCCCAACAGGATCCCCTTTTGGATAAAGCAGCTTTGTGTGTTTTCCTCCTAGGTGCAGGAGACTATAAAATATGCTGTTAAAATTCTTTTATTTTTCTGAGGCATTTATCTTCTACTTCCATAGCAGGATTAACATATTCTCATTGTTCACTCATTTTTCTGAAATTACTAAGTTAGCACTTACTACTTTGAATATTGAATATCCATATCTATGCCCCATCCCCCAACTATAAGAGTGTATTTCTGTGATACAAGACCAGTTTCAATGTCTGGCAGACTTTGTTATCACAAATATACCTACTGAATGAATCAGAATTAATGCCACAATATAAAATTATTATTAAGTACTTAATAGTTTCTTCCAATAGAAAACACCGTATCATTAAGGATAACTTTAGTGCTTCTTAAAATTATCCTGCTATCTTGTTCAATAAACATCAATTTCTACAATAACAAAAATCCAGATTACTTTTTATAAAACCTGGAAATAAAAAACTTAACATATTGGATTTTTAAAAAATCAACAGTGATTTTTATTCCTATATTAAGCTTGTGAGTTTTGGGGGGCTTTAGTAGTTTTTCCTTCTGGCAACTTATTCTATGCACCAACTGTTTTCAGAAAAGTCTTATTTTCAAAAAATGTACTGAGTAATTAATTCCATTTTCTCACTAACTTTTAATTAATCTCATTTCAATGAAATTATCAAGGAAATAATATTTTATGTATACTACATAAAACAAGCTTAGTCTTTTTCTTTTGGGGGTGCCTTGAAAGCAGTACTTGGGGACCTGGGTCCACTATGGGCAATTCTTAACCAATCGGGTCATTTGATAGAATGCTAGGGCTTGAAAATGTGGTGCTGGTGACCACCAGGGCCACCCCAGCAGTGCTCAGCACGTGATACTGAGTTTTGAATCTAGTCTGTTCTCACCGAAGATGTGCATCCTAATTCCTATACAATATCCTCCACCCTCATTCTCCTGAACGGGCTTCATTCCCCTAACCCTAAAAGAGATTCCAATATGGCAGCATTGGGAAGGACGAATAAGAAGAGGCTGCTGAAATCTCAGGACTGGGATTAATGGAAACATTACTGGCACCACTTGAGCAAATTGATGAACAACGGGACCAAGAGTGATTCAGTGATACAGCGATCCTCCGCCCTTGATAGCCTTACTCTTATTTCACAGTCAGGTATATTTAATACCTATGTTAATTTTAAAAGCAATGCATTATATTGTGACATCCTTATCTTTTCTCATGATCAGTCAGCATAGGTTATTCAGGAATAAAAAAACCTTAAACAAGTTACATACTTCTGAGTTTACGAAAATTTGTATTTTACTTTAATCCTTTCTAGCATTTGTGGTTTAACCAAAACCAAATCTGTCAGTAAACAAACCAGATGATACACTAAAAAAATCACCATTTTAGTTGTATATTCAACAAGATCTTACTTCTGCAGTGAGATCAGCATTTGTACCAAGGAACAAGTCAATGAGGCTTGGCTAAGTAGGTGTGTCATTAGGAGGCAAATGCTGGAGGCTAGAAAGCTTGGAAGAGCTTATGCCAGTAAACTAGCCATGAATGAGAAATTGACTCTTCTTGGTAACTGACTGAACAAAGTGCTTCAATAACATTGAAGGTAAGTGAGGTCTTTATCTATATGTATGTATTACAAAGCAGGTGAACAGTGGGAAGAGCTGGACAAAGATGAGGTTTGAATAGGAAACTAGTCAGTGTGATAGTTAATTTTATTTATTAACTTGGTGGCCACAGAGCTCTCAGATTAAATATCTTTCTCTGTGTGTCTGTGAAGGTGCTTCCAGAGATCAACGTTTGAACTGGTGAACTCAGTAGTTCTTTTGCAGTGCTGGGAACTGAATTTAGGGCTTCACACATGCAAGGCAAGTGGCCTATCATTGAGCTACAACCCTATTGCTCATCATCCAAACCTTGAGAATAAAAGGCAGAGGAAAACTTCATCCCTTTGTTACTGTTTCATGACTAAGTTAGGTCATCACACATTCTCTAGTCCTCAGACTATGATTTATTGCCTGTTCTCAGGCTTTGAACTCAGACTGAATTACCTATTATAGCCTTTCCTGGGTCTCATCTGAAGGGAGTTTGGTGGAACTTTCACTCTCCATAATCTCATGAGGCAATCTCTATTAGTAAATCTCCTTTAAAAAATTAAGTATATTTATATGTATATGTATGCATAGATGTAAATCTTACTGGGTGAATTTCTTTGAAGAACTCCAATACTAGCCAGTGAAAAGACTGTCCCTCTTATGCCCAGAGAGACAGTACAGAGGTAAATCGCTGGCAGCCAATCCTGGTTCTATGACTTGCACCACATATGGGCTTTTTATGCTATTGGCACTTTTAAGGGGGTTCTTAATGAGCGCCAAATAGAGTAAAGAAGTGAAAAAAGTGGAAAAAACATACATATAATAATTATAAATGAATAATTTAAAAGTATGTGTCCTGTCTATCCTTGACATCCACTCCCATAGTCATAGTCTTATAACACCGATCCACATGTCTTCTTGGGATAGGCCTTCTAAGAATACCTTCTAACTTTAGAAAACTGATGAGAGAAATTGTATAAGAAAACAAAACTATACCTTATCCAATGCATACATAGCAAACACAGGCCCATCATGAGCTTTTACTGTCTTCATCAGGAGAATGTCCTTCCAAATAAAAATATCTCCAGTAGCTGCTCCTGAGAACACTAAATCTTCCATTCGTCCATAAGAAACACACATCATTGTTTCCAATTTTCCAGCATTTCCAAAATTTCCTCTTTTAGATGTGAAGCCCCCACCTGAGGTATACCAAGAATATTTATTACTATTTTAAAATGACACCTCCTATGAACATGCAGAATTTCTTTGATGAAAAAACCCCCAGCATTTCTAGACTGCATAAAAAGTACAAAATTAGTGGAAAATATACAAAGTTATTGTAGAAGGTTTTTTTTAAATTGAGTTAATTATTGAATCCCCACTTTGTGGAAGACATAGTCATCAATGTTGAACTATAAATATGACAAAAGAGAATTACTGTCTTCAAGTTACTTAGGGTCTGGTGGAGAGACATAGTGTACTCTAATACTGCCTAAGGTCAAATTCTGTCACTGGTCAAAGGATGAGCAGGGCGAACTCTGAAAGAGTTCATGAATGCTTACAAAAATAATGAAAAAAAAACCACACAAAAAATACTACACATGTAAAACATAAATATATACTTTCCACAGTTTTTATATAACAATTTTTGGTGAGAAACACAAGAAGTATAGAGGAAGAAATACAATTAATTTGTCCCTTAGGCATTTGTTAACATTTCTCTGTATTTCTTTTATTTACAATGAGACACTCAGACTCCTTCCAGGCAAATGTATACAGACATTCTCTCTAGGATCTGTGGCATTGGCATTACCCTTTCTTTTAAAAGCACAATGCACTGGAACATTAACTTTTGAATGTTTTGTCCAGTAGGGCTCGATAGGGCTTGGTACCAAAGCTAATATCAAGAATTCAGAAATAATCTCAATAAGGGATATGACTTCTTACTGAGAAGAATAAGATATACTTGCATTTTATACTTTTTAAAAAATCTAGCCTCATTAACAACACTGAAATCCACAAATATTTATTTTGATCACCTACTGTGTATAGAGTCGCAGTTTAATTCATGCACTAAATTCAGTAATAAATTATAAAGAAATCCAACACTTTATTCAACCAAAGTGATTATTTTGTTTTCTGCTCAGTAGAGCAACATAATTCAGCTCTTTTCAAAGTAGATGACTAAACACTAAAGCTTCCTAGACACATGAATATGCATAGAATTATAAGGGATCAATATTCTAAGTCTCATAGCTTAGACATGAAGTAGTCCAAAGTGGATTTGGGAGAGAATATCTTTTAGACATATTTTAAATTTGGATTGCACACAGGTTAGGTAATGGTGACAATACTTTTAAATAGGGATAAAGCTCTCAATCCTGTAAATGATAAATCCGGATAATAGTACCTGCTTGTTGCCAGAATTTGATGTGCTTCATTCCAACTGTAACCATTTTGTCAACATGGTGTGGGTTACACTTTACCACAAATATCTTATCTTTATGGCCTCTATAAGAGACAAATTGAAAAAATTTCAGTGTAATAAAAGAACATAGTTTTATTAAAAGCATGCATTAATTGAATTGACATTAAACATAAGACAATTAAATGAGATTTAATTGCATCAAAATACAAGTTTTGGCTTTTCTCTGCATGTTGAGCTCTTTTATCATATAGGTTTTTTATTTGTTTGTTTTTACCAAAGCATATTTAACTATACTTTAAACACATTATGAATTTTTTTTAACAGATCACAAGTTTCCACAACAAAAGCAATACTACCACCACGGTCTTTAAATTTATAATGCACAGAGAGGTCTTGTACAAGAGGAGGAAAAATACTGCAATAACCTTATTGAGAAGTTTCAAATGTCACATATTTGCTGTGGGAGGCATAGCTTTGGGTTAGCCACTATCAGCTATAATGTTTTCACTAGAAATGGAAAGCCCTGACTCATCTGCATGAATAAAGAAAGGATGTGATTCATTGTTTCAATGCACTTTAGAATATTATGCACTCAGAGGTAAAGACTTATAGTCTCAAAGACAGAAGGTCAGATACAAAAGTGAGAGCTAAATGGAGAACAGAAGTTACAGATATGGCATTACACAATGCCTGGGAAATTCTGCTCCAAACTAAGAAATTACCACACTACAATATAAAAATTTCCTAGCCTTAAAAGCTACTTAATGGTCTTCTCTTTCATTAGCAAAAAAATTATGGTCATATTTTATCATGTAAAAAAGAGATTAGAAAAGCTAACTGGTCAATCTTCTTTTTGAATATAGACATACAAATCTAGAATTTTAGCAGAAAATTCAGTAATAAATATAAAGATAACACATTATAACTAGAATGCAAGTATTATGATTAGATGCATTAACAAAATAGTGTTATTCGTGATTTTAATATACATTGGAGAAAAAAATTATATTTTTTCATGGTGTTCAGAGATATCTGAGAACCATCTAATACTCGTTTGTGATTAAAAAATATCAGTACTCAATAAAACAGAAATAAACAAGTGCCTAGAATTTATCTCTCTGGTATATATATTTCCCTATATTTGCTGACAATCATTGAAAATTAAGATTCATTCCATACAACTATATACAGGTCAGCTCTCCACAAACAATGATGTGTGCCATTATATTTTCTTTGCAAGCAGAAAGTACTAGAATAGAAGCAGGTTCATGGTGTGTTTGGTATGTATAACCAAAAGTCAGATTCCATTTTTGCTTTTTTCCTAGATTATGGGCCATTATCAGCTCCTCAGTTGGGGGCTCTGGCAGTGCTTAGGGAAGTACGTGGTACTAGAGAGACCAAATCTGGGTCTCTAGAATGCAAAGTACTGGCTCCATCCCAGTAAGGTAGCTCTCCAGCTCCCCAAAAGCCATGATTTCAACATTAAGAATCAGTATTTCTTTGTAATATCAGAACAAGTCAGTACTACTACTATTTCACATTGTATTGTATTCTTTGACATTGTATTGGCATTATTACTATAATTAGACAAGGTTAAAATATTTATAGGTGATATTTTGAATCATGATAGGTTGAAATGTGTCTCAGATGGCCCTGTTTAATTGAGAAATGGGTAATCTGAAAGCGATAAATAGTTAATGAAATAAAAAATATGAAAAGCCTAATCATTTTTAAAAATTAAAGACAGAAGTTGTAGAATGGAAGAGGTAAAACTATTTCTATTTTGGGGCTAAAAAGCGATAATACAGCGGGTAGGTGTTTGCCTTGCATGCAGCCGACACAGGGTTGATTCTCGGAATCCCATATGGTCCCAAGCACTGCCAGGAGTAATTCCTAAGGGCAAAGCCAGGAGTAACCTCTGTGTATCGCTGGGTGTGACCCCCTCAAAACCACTATTTCTTTAGAAGATAATATATGTATATAAATAACAACTATTAACAAAATAATTTGGCAAAACTGCAGTACAGAAAGTTAAATGGAACATCAATAGCCTTAATGTATACAACTGACAGTTAAGATAGATTGGGAAAGAGGATTGTATTTATAAAAATGTAAGGTATACCAGGAAAACAAAACACCATCAAAATAAAAAGGGTAACCTACTGAATAAAAAAAGATATTTGCGACTCATATCAACCATGGTGTTCACATCATATAAGGTATTAATATAAAGAACTCATAAAACTCAGTAGCAGCAAAATGAAAAACCTGATTTTAAAATTTGGGAAGAGGATCACTTCTTTAAAGAAGACATACTGTTGGCTAACAAGGACATGAATACTTGTTCAACATCTCTTATTAGTAGGAAAATGCAATAAAAAATGACTATTCTCTAAAGGGACAAGAAACAAATGTGGGCAAAGATACAGGAAAAAAATGGGACCCTTGTACACTGTTGGTAGAAATGTAACAGTGCAGACTTTGTAGAAAACAGTACAGGGATTACTCAACAAATGAAAACTAGAAATACTTTACGGTTTAGCTATTCAACTTCTGGATATTTATCAGAGAATGTTAAAAAGTGTTCAAAGAGATTTATACACAATGTTCATTTCAGTACTACTAACAAAAGTCAAGTGCTAGAAACAACTGAAATGCCCTCCATAGGTAAGTAGATAAAGATGAGGTATATAGAGTATGTAGATACACTGTAAAAACTGCTCAGCTATTTTTTTGAAAAAAAGAAATTTTTGGAAGTTACAGTAATATATATGGATCTAGAAGTTACCATGCTAAGTGAATTATGGCTGACAAAGACAAATGCCAAATTATTTCAATCATATGTGATAAAATAATGAACCAAGACAAACTCATCTACTATAAGAATAAAACAGAAGGAACTGGAGGTGAGAGTGATGGAGGATGCAGGAGAACAAAGGTTCCTGTCATTTTTTAGTACATTGTACCTGTGTTTCAGAAGGCTTAACCTACATCTTCAGAAGCTGTATCCAGTGCAAGTGCCTCTTAATTCATCAGGTGAAGTATCTGTGAACAACTGCCTGGAGAATTACCTTGGAAGACAGCAGCACAGTCACAGAGATATCACTACACCTCATGTCTAGCTGATTTCACTGGGGCCTCAGATGGAGTAGACGTTCTTTCTCCCCTGTGAACCCCAAGGGCCACAGACTTCCAGAAGAAAAATCCAGGTATGCAGGATGAGTGATTGAAAACCCATGGTCACATGAAGGCAGGAATGGGTTGTCACGCCCACTAATTGCTTCCAGGTGCCATTCGAACGTATTAATGGCCATGATCCAGAGACTCCACAAATGAATCTCGAAAGACAGCACCATGCCACAGGGATGTCTAGGGACCCCAATTATTTAAAGTTTTAGATATCCAGGAGCGCGCATGTGAGATCGCATGCTTTTTTAAAAAACTTTTTTGTTGAATCACTGTAAAACAGACCCCTACAGACATTTCTTACTATTCATGACAAGCAATACAAAATAATAATAGTGGTGGGAAGATGTTATGGTGGTGGGATTCATGAATAAAATCAATTACTGTGAACAACTTATGAAAATAAAATTAAAAAATTTTTTTTAAAAAAAGCACCTGCCATAGAGGCAGGCAGGGTATGGGAGGTGTGTGTGTGTGGGGGGGGGGGGGTGATAGGAGGGAACCTGGTAACACCAGGACTGGTACTATTCATAATAAGTAACACAAAATAAATTATTCAGCATCTGCCTGTGGGGTAGGCTTGAGTAGTGGTGAGAAAATTCGAAATAATAATAATAGTGGTGGGATTGGTGCTGAAATATTGAACATAATCAATTACTGTAAACAAATTTAGGAAAATAAAATGGAAAAATTAAAAAGAGAATAAAACAGTGTTTGACATAAGATAAGGGGGAGGAAGTGGGAAAATCAGATAAAAGAGATCAAGTGTATGGTGATGTGCTGCCAACACTCCCAAACCTCCATTTTAAATTAAAAAGGAAACACAATGTTCTTGAATTGCAAAATGTTCCAGAGAGATAGCACTGGGGTTAAAGTGCTTGCACAACATGCAGCTGGTGCTCTATCGCTCTAGAGTACTGCATATGCTCTACTGAGCACTGCCGGCAGTGATCTCTGAGCAGAGTCAGGAGTACTCTGAGCACTGCTGGATGTGGTCCCAAAGCCAAAAGAAAAATATTATTCCGTAAAGGTATAGCACTGCACTGTAGCACTGTCCTCCCGTTGTTCCTTGATAGGTTTGAGTGGGCACCAGTAACGTCTCCATTGGGAGACTTGTTGTTACTGTTTTTGGCATATTGAATACGCCATGGGGAGCTTGCCGGGCTCTGCCGTGAGGGTTGGATACTCTCGGTAGCTTGCCAGGCTCTCCAAGAAGGGTGGAGGAATAAAACCTGGGTCAGCTGCGTGCAAGGCAAATGTCCTACCTGCTGTGCTATCACTCCAGCCCCCTATACTCTCTACTTTGGTTAGATTCGATATTTTGACACCAGTCCCACAACACACAAACTTGCTGAAAGTAAGAACCTGGTAAAGATGAGACCCATTGTATTTAGAGCTATGCGTGGAGAATCTTCATTCAAATGAGAGGAAGAATCCGGAGTTCCGACCTCCATTGACAGTCAAGAATCAGGGACACTGTCTTGTTTGCCAAGACATCAAAAATCAGATGGGCTGGACACGTAATGAGATTTAGAGATGACCGCTGGACTAGAGCCGTTACCGACTGGATTCCATGAGATGTCAAAAGACCATGTGGCCACCCACCTACAAGATGGTCAGACTTCTTCGTCAAGACCCTGAACTATTGGTTTGGGGCTCTTCATGTCCCCAGAACAAACAGAGGCCATTGGGCTACACTAGCACGCAACAGGGATGAATGGAAATGTTACTGGCACCCACTCGAGCAAATCGATGAGTAACGGGAAGTCAAGTGATCAAGTGATGTGGTAAAGAGGCCTTATTTTTGAGCCAGAAAGAGTGGGATAGACATAGAAAGACTGCATTCATCTGGGGAACAAGAAGTAACAAAATAGGAGACTAACACCCAAGAGTGGCC